GGACCTGCTTGACAACCCATGCCGAAAGTAAAAGTGAAGTTTTTTTGCATTTTTCACACACAAACAGCACTTACACGGACAATATTATTGTTGTGATACTTTTTACTGTTTTGAAACACAAATATTTGTGTTTAGCGAAGTCTCCCGAGTACAATAGTGCCCCTGGTGTACAGGTTTTATGGTGTTTTCAAAAGTTACAGCGTCAAATATAAGGCTTGTGTTTCATTTTTTTCACATTAAAATTCGCCAGATTGGTTACGTTGCCTTTGAAAATTTCCGTCATGCAGTATTTTTCCAGCTGGGTCTATTACCTTGCTGGTAACTATGAGCCCCAGGTATCATTTGATTCCTGGGGCTCCCCTCTCTCACCTGGTGCCAGAATTAGTGGCCCCAGACTGACCGATGCTCTACTTGCAGAGTTCAAAGTGAGCGCGGCAAACAAGCATTTAAATGGGGATTTAAATCCCCACTATTACAATTTGGTGTGATCAGGGTTAAATCCCTGTTCACACGAGGCAGTTCCAGGTATCAATGGAAACCTGGTTCTCCCCTCTATCAGCTGGGGACATTTTTAGTGACCCCAGCCTTTTTGATGAGCTACATGCAGTGCTGGAGGTTAGCGCAGCATGTATCTGCTTAAGTAGGCATTTAAATGCCTATATCTAGATTTTGGTGTAAGCAGGGTTAAATCCCTGCTCACACCAGGAAACCCATGTATCATTAGAAACCTGGGTCACCCCTCTGTCAGATGGGGTAATTTTTATTGTCCCCAGACTGACAGTTGAGCTGCATGCAGAGCTCAAAGTGAGATCGGCATGCAACTGTTTAAATAGGGATTTAAATCCCCATAGAGCACAATGCAGTGTGAGCAGGGTTAAATCCCTGCTCACACTAGGAAACCCAGGTATCATTAGAAACCCGGGGGTCCCCTCTGTCAGCTGGGGCCATTTTTACTGGCCCCAGACAGAGAGCTGAGCTGCATGCAGAGCTCAAAGTGAGATCGGCATGCAGCTGTTTAAATAGGGATTTAAATCCCCATAGAGGACAATGCAGTGTGAGCAGGGTTAAATCCCTGTTCACACTAGGAAACCCAGGTATCATTAGAAACCTGGGGGTCCCCTCTGTCAGCTGGGGCCATTTTTAGTGGCCCCAGGCTTTTTGATGAGCTGCATGCAGAGCTAAAAGTGAGGTCGGCAAGCAGCTCTTTTAATGGGGATTTAAATCCACATAGACAGCAATGTAGTGTGAGCAGGGTTAAATCTCTGCTCACACCAGAAAAACGTAGGTATCAATAGATAACTGTGGCTTCCCTCTGTCAGCTGGGGCCATTTTAGTGGCCCCAGACTTTTTGATGAGCTGCATGCAGTGCTGAAAGTCAGCACTGCATGTAGCCATTTAAATCCACGAAGAACACTGCAGCTGAGCAATTCAAACTCAGCTACAGTCATTCTCTCAAGTGATATGGTGCTTGGGAGACCCCCAGGGTCTAAACAGACATTTTCAGTTGCCCAGCACATATCGCATTGCATTGAGCATAATGTCTTCAATGTAAGAGATGGGAGACTGCAATACTGAAAATAGCCAGTAGATGGCAGCAACATACCACTGTCTATTTTAGTTTAAAACCCCTTTACTAATATCAGTACGGATATTAGTAGAGGCAAACCTTTGAGATTAAGATTAAATTAAGGATTATTATTCGGTTTAGAATAAGTACTAGATTTATTATCAGGTTTATTATTGGTAATCATTTTAACACTATTGCTAAAGGTAGGATTGAGATTAGGATTAACATTATAATTCAGGTTACACATGGGATTACATTATGGGTTAGGATTGTGGTAAGGGTTTATTATTAGATTGAGGGTTAGATTTGGGATTAGGATTTGGTTTAGGATTAGGGATTTAGGGATTTAGATTGGGATTAAGATTAAGATCGCTACTTTCCAAAGAGATACATATGGGGTATATTTGTACTGAGAAGATGTTGCTGAGTACAGCTAAAATAATTTTATGACAGTGGAAAACATGAGATTTAAAAGATAAGCATCAAAAACACTATGTGTATGTAAAAATGTTAAAATAAAAATAAATACTACAAACTTTGAAACAAAATTATAACAAAATGTCACTTTAATAAAGCTTATAATGTTTTATGTGAGAGTCCCCATGGTGTCAGCTTTTGTAAATAATATGCATTGGTGGCGTAATTTAAATATGTGAGCGACTAAAATGCCCCAAAATGAAACAAAGACCCATTGTCAATTTGCCATTTTAAAAAAAACTGCACTGGGCCGGGTATGATTTTAGCCCTGTATTTTTTCACAAAAACCTGGCTAAGGTATACAAAGGGGGTCATTTTGTACTCAGGAAATATAGCTGAGAATAATTTAGTGATTTAATTTACAGTAGCATATATCATGTTTCCAAAATTAACCACTAAAATACATGTGCGTATAAAAATGCAAAAATAAAACAATATGATAAAATTTGAAAGGAATTGGTGCTGACATAACTGTATAATAAAGCTCAAAATATACCATATGACATTGCCCGTGGTGCAAAAAAAAAAATATTTTACCACAAAGTTTGACATAAACTGGTGAAAAAATAGCATCATGTTAAGGCACAATATACACCATATGTGATACACTGTAGTGTCTACTTTCACCAATAGTAGGTCCTTGAGGGATAAATTCAACAGTTAAACTGCTACAATGCCCCAAAATAAGACTTGCCCCATTCAAATTCATCTATCAAAATTATCACTGTGAAAACTGAAATGGTCAGGTCTCTTTTTGTAACTTCACAGGAAAGTGGCAAAGGCATAGATTGGGGATATCATTTTACTCAGTTGATATGGCTGAAAACAATATGGGGTTTTCTACAGCAGTAGTATATATCAGCTTTATGAAATACACATTAAAAATCCTTGTTTTATGTGAGTATGTTAGAAATCTGAAAAAAATAAAATTTTACTACACTATTTAGCAGAGATTGGCGGCGAAATGGCTACTTAAAAAGTGTCAGAATACCCTTTGGTAAATACCCTGTGATGTGTGATTTATATAAATATATACTTTTGTGCGGCAATTTTGCTTTCTGTGATGGCTATTAAGCTTACAAGACAAACATACCAAATTCTAAAATAGCTCCACATTAAAATTTTATTTTACTCCTTGTATTTTGTGACCTGTAACTTTCAAAATAAGCTGAAATCCTAGACTTGTTATGTACTCTTAAAATCAGAACAACTAATTGAATATTTTTTAAATTACTTTCCTTAAGCTGCAATTATTATACACACGTTATTATTGCCATTTATTTTAATTTTTTTGGATTTTTTTTATAATAAATACGAATTTATATATGTATATGTCACATCCGATTAAAGCCCTTTTTGTCCTTTAAAAAACGATATATAATGTGTTGGTGCAATAAATAAGAAAAATGCAAACGGAGGTTGAACACAAACAGCAAAAAAATGCAAAAAATGCTTGTGTCCTGAAGGGTAGGTCCAGTTTTTGAAGCTGCGTCCTTAAAGGACCACTCTAGGCACCCAGACCACTTCAGCTTAATGAAGTGGTCTGGGTGCCTGGTCCAGCTAGGGTTAACCCATTTTTTCATGAACATAGCAGTTTCAGAGAAACTGCTATGTTTATGAATGGGTTAAGCCTTCCCCTATTTCCTCTAATGGCTGTCTCATTGACAGCCGCTAGAGGCGCTTGCGTGCTTCTCACTGTGAGAGCACGCCAGCGTCCATAGGAAAGCATTATGAATGCTTTCCTATGTGACCGGCTGAATGCGCATGCAGCTCTTGCCGCGCGTGCACATTCAGCCGACGGGGAGGAGAAGAGGAGGATCGGAGGAGGAGAGCTCCCCACCCGGCGCTGGAAAAAGGTACGTTTTAACCCCTTTCCAGAGCCAGGCGGGAGGGGGACCCTGAGGGTGGGGGCACCCTCAGGGCACTATAGTGCCAGGAAAACGAGTATGTTTTCCTGGCACTATAGTGGTCCTTTAAGGGGTTAATTTGTTTATCTTTTTTTCATTTTTTATTTTTTTTCATTTCTACTATAAATTTATTTTTATTCTCTATTTTTATTATTTCTCATTATGCATTTTATATTTCTTATGTTTTCTCTAAGAAAAAAATGAAAAAATAATATGTAAGTGTCAGGATTATGAAGTCATCCAGCACGTAGAATTGTACCACACCTAGGACTAGAAGATAATGTCTTACCGGGCCTAAGAATGGCCGGACTTAATGAACCAAAGAATAGTCAGATTACTTGCCGAGGTCAGGGACACAGAATGGGACACAAAGATAAGGGAAAGCCAAAAGTCAGGGATACCAGAATACAGGGAAGTCAAAACGAAGCCAAAGTCAATAACCAGAAGTAAACGCTCAGGAACACACTCTCGGACAACCAATAAGGGAAACCATGACAGGGCAATGAGGAAAAGTAAAATTTTGTTTAAATAAGCCCTTTACAAATCTGATTAGCCAAAATCGGCCTTTGACCCCAGAACGTGCGCGTCACACACACGCCGACGTCATCAACATGGGCAGACGTGGGGCTATAATTTGGCGTGGATCCACAACAGCCGGCGTCCAACATGTTGCAGGAGTCAGGTATACAGACGAATGGCGCTGAGCGCAAACACCGCAACGTGAGGATGAATATGTTACAGGAAGAAAGAAACAAAGATAAGTAAATTTTAATTGAATTTTTTTTACTTTATTTTTTATTATTTTATACTTTATTTTTCATAACTTTATTTTCCAGTGCCATTTTTTCATTAATTTTATATATATATATATATATATATATATATATATACACACATAAAACAAGAGGGGGTTGGCTGCACTCACCTTAACATGCATAAATGGGGGTGCTGCTGGGGGCCAAATAATACAATACACAAGATCCAGCGCACTCACCTATCCACTAAACAGCAACTTCAATGTTGAAAGATTTTATATGTTTTTTTAAAAACACCCAATCTAGGCAAAAATAATGGGGGTTTAGACGTTGTGGCAGGCTTATGCACTGTATGATCATATAATGTAACTAAACCCCCATTATTTTTGCCTAGATTGGGTGTTTTTAAAAAAACATATAAAATCTTTCAACATTGAAGTTGCTGTTTAGTGGATAGGTGAGTGCGCTGGATCTTGTGTATTATATATACACACATACACATATACATACATATATATTGTGACAGAACCATCTGTCTGCCTATTGTGGTGGATTCGTCTATTTCTGCCCCCGTTTGTGTAAATGGCTGTTTCTATAGCCCAGCCATGCGAATGACTGTTTTCACCGAACGGATGGCCACCCAGAAGAAGAAGTGTGCTGCTGGTTAACCTCTTGACCCCAATTAGAACGTTGTGGTTAACCGCAGACACATTTCAATTAAACCGAATTCAGGGTGGCCGTCGTTCGTATGTCGACCACGAGGCAGCAGCCATTTTAAAACGCACGAAAGCCCAGCGGTGTTTGGCACTGATTCCATGGAACTAAAAACGGACACTTTTTCTGCCGAACACCGCTGAAACAACAGGTCGCCTGGCTGCCTCGACGAAAGCGTATGAACACCGGCCGTTCGGGAGTTTTAAAACACACGAAAGGACTTAACCCAGATAGCCTTCCCATGGAATCAATCGCATACCGAAAGACTGTAAGAACTTTGACTCCATGGCGATTGAACTATGAGTGGGATCTGAGCGCTATTCGCTAATAATATGCACTCAGATCCAGGCTATCTGGGGATGTGTGATACGAATGGGAAATGTTCGGTTATTTTAACCCTTAAGGACTGGACTGTTTTTGCGATGTTGTACATTTGCGACCAGGCATATTTTTACATTTTTGTGGTGTTTGTGTTTGGCTGGAATTTTCCGCTCTCTCATTTACTGTTCCCATACAAATTATATATTGTTTTTTTCAGGACAAAAGGGGCTTTCTTTACATACCATTATTTATATAATCTCATGTATTTTAATTTAAAAAAAATAAAAAAATATGATGAAAAATTGAAAAAAATACATGTTTTTTGACTTTTACTTGAAAAATCTTTTACTCATCTACAAAAGCGAATTAAAAAAATTGCTAAATAGATTCAAAATTTTGTCCTGAGTTTAAAAATACCCTGTGTTTACGTGCTTTTTTGCTTTTTTTTGCATGTTATAGGGCTATAGGTACAAGTAGAATATTGCGGTTTCAAAACATAAATTTTTTAAATTTATCAATAGTGACATTGTAACACTATTATCTGTCATAAATCTCTGAATAACACCCTACATGTACATATTTTTTTTAAAGTAGACAACCCAGGGTATTCAATATGGGGTATGTCCAGTCTTTTTTAGTAGCCACTTAGTCGAAAACACTGGCCAAAGTAAGCATTCATATTTGTTTGTGTGTGAAAAAGTAAAAAAACTAAATTGAACGCTAATTTTGGCCAGTGTTTGTGACCAAGTGGTTACTAAAAAAGACTGGACATACCCCATTTGCAATACCTTGGGTTGTCTTCTTTTGCAAATGGTATGCCATCATGGGGGTAATTCTCATTCCTGGGCTACCATACGCTCTCAAAGGCAACGTAACCAACCTGGCCATTTTCAATGTAAAATATTTGACCCATATATTTGACCTTGTAACTTTCAAAAATGCTATAAAACCTGTACATGGGGGGTACTGTTTTACTCGGGAGACATCGCTGAACACAAATATAGTGTTTAAAAACTGGAAAACGTATCACAACAATTATATCATCAGTAAAAGTGCTGTTTGTGTGTGAAAAATGCAAAAAAAGTAACTTTCACTGACAATATCATCGCTGTGATATGTTTTACTGTTTTGAATCACTAATATTTTTGTTCAGCGAAGTCTCCCGAGTAAAACAGTACCCCCCATGTACAGGTTTTAGGGTGTCGTAGAACGTTACAGGGTAAAATACAGTGCTAGCAAATTCAATTCTCTGGAATTTCGGCCTGGGTTGGCAGGCAGGTCCCTTAAATTGCAATCAATAAAATTACTGAATTATGTAAAACTATTACATAAATACGCACGTAGAATTTAAATATATATGCAAATTTATATATTTGAAGTCTACGTGTATATTTATATAATTATTTATGTAATTTTGTATATGGACATATGTATATTTCTTATTATTTTTATTTATTTTTATATACATAGATATATATACAAATTCATTCTAAGTGTATTTTGATATAAATATATATATATATATATTAATTTTAAAATACAGTTAGAATAAAATTTCATATAGATATATAATTTTTTTAAATTTTTTTATTATTATTTTAAATTTTTTTTATTTAATTTAAATTACTTATTATTTATATTTTATAATAATATATATATATATATATATACAATATATATAGTTATTATATATATTATATATATACGTGTGTAATTTAATTATAAGTGTATTTTTATTTTAATATAAGTACATATTAATATAAAAATACACTTAGTATGGTATTATATATATGATATATAGACATATATTATATAGATATAATATATGTCTATATATCATATATACACATATATAATTATTATTATTTTTTTAATTAACATTAACTTTATTTTTATTTTTTGATTTTACACTAGCAGGGAGACTGCCTGTCAGCACAGACAGTCCCCCTGCAGGCAGACACATGGACACCTATTGTGACCATGTGATCGCTGTGTTAAGCGATCACATGGCCACAGGGGTCCTAATCTGCCGTGGGGAGACTGTCTGGGCTGCAGGCAGTCTCCCCACAACCGGAGGAACACTGATCGCCGCCGGGGGAACGACGGCGATCAGGTAAGTACCCCCAGACCGTTAGGACGGTTCAGGACCGTCATCGGTCCTCAAGGCAAAAATGCCGATGACGGTCCTGAACCGTCCTCGGTCGCTAAGGGGTTAAAGTTATATATTTTTATGTGTTTTCTGGTATTGCATTTAAGATGGCGATTTGTCTTTGTCCTGGAGATGATTGAATTACCTTTCAATTATCTCCAGGGCATAGGGGAGGAAACCATATTGCATTGTGGGAAAAGTTTGTGATTGTACGTCTGAAATGTCCCCATGTCTGTCTGTAATTCCAGTCTCCCATTTGGTCCCCTAGGGGAGTGTCCACCAAGTGGGAGACCTGCATAAATACGGGCAGGTAGCCCACTGTAAAGCCAGATCCTGTTTGACCCTCAATGCGGAGCTTCTGTCTCGTTATTGGGGGGATTTCTTCTTTGCGCTTAGAGACTGCTGATTGGAACCGAAAGCCGCTTGGTGGATATTGTTGTTCGGCGGCTAGCAGCAGTTCATGGATTTCCGTTCGGGAGTTTGGAGCCTTTCACGGATCCCGGTCGGGAGATTGCCGCTTCCCCTGAGGTTGGTTCGTATACTGCAGTCTATGCGAATGGAGTTATTGGTATTGCAGAAGGGGAAGGCTAACTAAACGGCGGTTTCGTTTAAAGACACCAGAGGTGTCTTAACATATATATATATATATATATATATATATATATATATTATTATTATTTTTTATTCTTTATTTATATTTTTGTGCAGGTAGGTACAATATCTTTGTCAAGACGCCACAACAGCGTACATATATGCATAACTATACAGATTAGGGAGTGGCATAAATTCCGTGCACATTTTTAATGAATACAACAAAGTTTAACTTTATGAGTCTATAGGTTATGTGTTGAACATGTTCAATCATACTTAACGGTACAGTGAAAATTAGACTGTTATTATAGCATGCCTATGTTGCAGGAGTACAGAATTATTCATGTTATTCCTAGTATAGGCTATTGTATTTATTCACTTTTTCCATGTTTTATGCCTAGCTAAAACCACATTTGCATCAGGGTAAAGCTTAAGCATTCACAATGTGACAACGTTAAGTTAACTGTGTTAATGGAGCCATAACGAGGAAGCATGTTATGTAATGTAATGACTGCTGTGCTATACAGCTCTTATATGATATGTCACTGGATGCCACTGTAAAACAAGCAGACTATATCACTGGTTGCTAGTATGAAACACATAGATGAAATCTCTGTGTGCTAATACAAGTTAAGGCTATCTCTGGTCGCTAACTGTTATATCAATTCACGTTGTGGTCGTCAGGCTTGTTACACTGAAATATGTTGTGCCTCGTAGGGGTCCAAGAGTGAGAGCATACACCACACAGCGACCCCTGAAACCTTGCATGGTGGTGAGCTAGTGCTCTAAACTTAAACTAAGCTAAACTTTGTAGTAAGTGTACAAGCTATAAACTGTAGACATGCAAATTACTGGCTGGGGTATCAATATAAACATGCATAAGTACTCCGGTCATGAGAGCCACAATGGTTGGTTTCATTGGTGTTAGGGGTCTGTGGTCTGTATCATTGGGTCTCCGGTGTCCTGCCTGTCTGTACCATTCATGGCTAGAGGCAGACCGGCAACTGTCAGGGTGTTAGAGTGTTGTGTACCGTGTCCTTACCGGGGCCCAGCGGTGGGTCCGAGACTCTATGTTGCATATGTGTCCGGTGTGGAGCTTTGGGGGATGAATGGGGTGATCCGGTCTGGGTCCCAAATATGGGTGCGGTTTGGGTAGCTGTTTTCGTTGGCGGCCATTTCCGCTTGGGGCAGAAAATCTTGAGGCAAGTCCAGGGCCCGCAGGAAGGCTGGGGCGTCCCGAATGTCCTGAATGGTATGCCTGTTGGATCCTTGCTGGACCGTCAGCGCCCTAGAGGACCGCCAGCGGTAGTCAATCTTGTGGGCTCGGAGTGTTGAGGTGAGTGGCCTGAGCGACCTGCGCCAGGCTAGAATGCCATTGGACAGGTGTGTGTAAAATGAAAGGTCCATATTTTCGAAGCAAAAGGGGGTCTTGCCATGGAGGGAAGACAGAATCGCCATCTTCTCTCTGTTGTTGTGGAGGGTCAGAATGACATCCCTCGTGGCCGTGGCTGGTGCAGTCATTGGTTTAGGGGCTCTAAAGACCCCCTCTGGGGTGATTGTCTTTGTGGCGGTACTGCTGGTATCAGACGCCCCATAAGTTTAGGCAGTTCTGCCTCCGGAATGTCCT